TACAAGTTTTTTCCACTGTCCAATTCTTCACAGCAGGGTAATTCAAGTGTACTCAAGTTCTCACCACTACAAGTAACATAAATTGTAAGGTTTATTGAACAGTTGATGATAATCACCTATAAAAAGAACTGCTCATATAAATATAACAAATTACTCCCAGATCCCCTTCTTCTGACCCGTACTTTTCAGCACTTCGATGCGTGCTCTTTCCAGTAACAGATTGGTCCCAAGCCTCCCAAAGGCTAGCATCCACTTTCCTACAACTTCTGATTCCACAGACCAGGACAGAAGTCAATAATGAAGCACAAAAAGGGATTTCTAGTGTACAGGGAACATCATGTCCTCAGACAGAGTAGACAGCTTTCAAGTACAAGCTCATATGCTAGAACATACAAGAGCTTGATAAGCAAAAAGTGTATTTCCTAAATCAGAGAATAGTACTATTTCCCATTTCATTCCTTCAGGCGGAGGGTACCAGTTATGAAGTCTGATGCAAAAATAATCAACTGTCTGCAAAGTCAATGATCAGAATTTTCCTTTCCACCCATTTACCTGAAAATTGGAAATACGCTGAATCAGAAAATAATCCACTTGTTTAAGGTCGAGACTCTGACTTAACTTCAAAAAAACACACAAAACCCCCCCCTGAGTGTTTCATGCTGCATTGTCCTCACCCAATGACCTGCATTTTAATTTATAGCCATTTAAACTTGTTTCCTCAAAATGAGTATGTGGAGACACACCCTCTGCTAAGCTTGTTTCTGTGATTTGTTTTCTGTATGGCATGGGCTATGTTATTTTAGTTTTCTGCTCAGTTTCCCTCACAATGAGCTAGCCCATGGAACTCCCTTCAAGCAATATTGTATTAGCAAAATTAGAGAGTCAAACACAAGGCAGAAATATCCAGAGTTTCCCAAGTTAATGCAAAAGTTTTTGGAAGCACTAACAAACGTGTAATTTAGCACTGAACATCAATCTCTGCTCACAGCTGGAGTAAAATCCCGGCGGCAGGAAAAGGGACTGCCGGAGCACCGCGGCACTCCCCACGCCTTCTGCTCAATTATCGGTTTTTATCAGAGGCAGAACAGCAGGACTAAGCGAGCCACGGGCCTGAGCTAATGTGGCGGATCCGGTCTTGCCTGCAAAGCGGTCTGAATGGAGACACCATCGCATGAAGTATCAGGAGAATAACGCTCAGGGCACTAGTGCAGGCGTTTGACCTGCAGTCGTCTCGGAGAACAGGTTGCCAAATTTTTTGAAGAGTAGGAAAACGCATGTTCCCTTTTGCAGACAAATCCATTGTAACAGCTGTAACCTTGCATCAGCTTTTCAGGGATAAAACTGGATTCCCAGAAAGCTTAAGACTGTGATGAACTTTAGTTTCTTGCCACATAACATCACGGAAAGCAAAATCGACCTGCTCACACGCAACTCAAATGCTGATCTCAGTGATACTCTCTTTTGCCAAGTACAGGCTATAGCTTCTTACGCCTCTCTTTTCACAGAATGTCAAACTATACACTTAATCACTGGTGTAAATAACACACACTGGGAAAAGAAACAAGAGAGAGGAAGAGACCCAGCTTGGAAAAAGAAGCATCAATTTTCTTTTCAAATGTAGCTGAACAGGAGAGTTGAGAGGGAAGAGATTAATGATTACAAGTGCTAAACTAGGACTTCAGTATAAAGTTATTATCATGTCTAGATGTTGGTTTTGCCTTTGACAGTTGTTTGAGGTTTCACTTACATAAATACAGATATGCATCCAGTCTTAAGGCACCTACATGCATTTAAAAAGCCTGTAATATCTTTAAGAAACTGGCCTTTATACATTCTGCATTCCAGTTCACCTGCAAAATGAGAAAGATGGTGATGGGGTAAAGAAAAAAAAGTTTGTTTAAACACTGAGTACAGAATTTACTAATAGTACCTAATTAGTATTAACAGATGCATTCAACAGTTATTCCAACAACAAGCAGAAGTAGCTCTCATGCCTACAAATTGTAATATTCCCCTGGATGATTATTTTAATTCCATGTACAATGTGAGTATATTAGATGTGTATGACTGGCACCTCTCAATGTATACTTGCATCTTTTAAAGTTCATTGCTGTTGGAAGCTTTTTAAAAATAAAAGTAACTTAAAAATGGACTTCTTCCCTTGAAAGTACTATGTATATCTGATTACTATGCAGCCAAGCTGAAATACTCCCTCCATTTTCTATTCCAAAATAGCTGGCAAATAATGAGCAAGTTGGAATATTCTCTGCTTATAGTATTTAGCTTGCGGTTAAGGGCTTTCCAACTTTCTGGGTTAGCACCATCTCACTAGAAAACTGCTGTAGATCAAGGAGGACTAGCACAGCTGACATAATTCAGTCTCAAACCAACCTTCCCATACTTAATAGGTTCTTGTGTCAGCATGTGTTCTACACTGAAACATCTCAGCTTGAACTTGGCTACAACTGAAGAGTACAGGGATGCGTTCAGCAGATGAGACTGGCAGGAACAGAGGGGCTTAATGTGGTCAGAGGTTCCGCAGGCAGTGGCAGCACCATGGCTGCTGATGCACTGAAGGCAAACGGAAGGTTTTATCGGTTTCTCACTGGATCCTCACAGTTCAGACACTTGGATTTTTACTGTGCAGTTTGCCACCACTTCAATGGGAGAGGAGACAAAGTGGCAAGATTTTTCTTAACATTTCTGCAAGCCTACCAAGATTGCACTATTCCAAAGTAAACAGCTACCCTGAAAAAAACCCCCAAGTCTTAAGCAATTAAATTCAGCATGCCTGCTAATGAAATTGTTGCTCTGTGACATATGTATATATAGTTACCAATTAATTATCCCTCATTATAACAAGTGCCAGTAAGCTAGAGGCTTTCTTTTCCACTTCACATAAAAATACATCTGTAGGGGTGTAAAAGACAATCCATTTGAGTTTCTTCAGACTCAAATTACTTTACACAAAAAGCTTCTTCAAAATGATAAATGGCAGTCATACCTCCTTAAATGTGTTTTATTTCTTTAAAAAAAAAATTAACTACTATGTCTCAAGTCAACTCTAACTCATGCTACTTCCACACATACGTTAATATCAGTTCAAGAGTATCGAACATACAGTTCTCATCAATTTTGGTCTTCCTTACATTTTCCTGTTAGCGTGGCAGCTCTGGGATGTCCAGTTCTCCTCTGGTCAGAGTGCTAACATGGCTTAGGTTAAACTCCAGTCCCCTATTTTCAAAACTCTCCCCTTCAGGTAGCAGACTGACGCACATTCAGCATAAATAGTTTTGGAGAAACATGTATTACAGAGACTCTAGGAGAATTCTCATCATGTTCAAAACAACGTATGGGAATAAAATAGAACCACAACTTTGATTTACAAAACATAGCTTTAATTATACAGATTGCTTCAATGAGTTTTCAAATATAGATTTCAAGAAGTCACCAGTGTTTTAATATATGCTTTCTGAAATAACATTATAACATCTACTTTTGAAATACTTATTGCTAACATGTTAATATTTGTCAGGTTTTACCAAGTGTTAACTATTGAATATTTTCGTTTAAGTGTTCAATAGTAATTAACTCATCATTGAAATGCCATCTCTAGACATTTGCTAGTGCATATATGCTTTCATATGAATTCAGGTATTACTCTGATTTACAGGTTATGAAGAGCTTAAATATGTCTGCTAGATTCAAATGGGAGCCATGCTTAAGTTATAAAAAAAAAAAAAAGCAGCTAACATACTGAAGTGGCATAAATAACTAAGAGAGAAGATAATGACTCGGTCATAAAAGCTAACAAATTTATATACTCAGAGCTTCAGTTTTAGTCTTTTCTTGGTCTCAGGAAGAATGTGAAATAACAGAAAGTGAATGATTGCCTGGCCCACAGCATTCTGGTATAATCATAATAATCTGGGGAATTCAAATAGATTGTTAAGAATTTCATGTGGAACAAATTATATTAAAGAAGATTCTTTCACAAAATGTCATTTTTGACTCATGCAGTAGATTAAGCACTTTGGAGGGAAGCCTTCAGGGCCAGTCAGGCTCCAAGTGGATTTCTTCATAGTTTTCCCCAATGCACACCTCAAGAGGTAGCAAGGTAGTTTTTTCATTATACGAACTGAATTTTGACTTCTTTGCTGAATTTATCAGCAAGGGCACCAATTTGGAGATGATTGCTTTGATCCCATGCAAACTGCTCAGCCACAGCTCCTTTCAAATAAGCCCAACAGCAGCCAGAAAGTGGTTTCTACCGACCCATGTGACAGTGAGCAAGTGGTGAGAATCTGGTATTCCATTAATAATCTCCCAGTCACTTGCTTCTTTCACAATGTTGTTTTCAACCAGTCTTGCAATGTTTGTAGCTTTCTACACCACTGTAACCTGAACTTGATAAATGAACTCTTCTACAGAGCAGGAATTTCATTAACTACTTTGTACAGACTCTAATGTGAAATTGAGTATCAGTATATACTTTGAAAACAGATTCATATTGGGCTTTAATATATTTTTCACTTCTATTTTAGTTTCTCTCAAAACAGAGTATCACTAATTTGCAATCACCATAAGATAGCTGACTTCCATGCAATTCTTGTTGTGTCACTTCAGAATGTAGTATATTAGAAAAAAAATACAGTTCATCAGATTACAATTTAACAATTTCATTTTGAAAAGTTACTTTATCTGTATGATATGGGACAGAAAGAAGGCAACTTAGGTTAAAAGTGTTACATAGAATATCCAATAATAACTAGAATGCAGTCTTAGACACCTGGAGGCTTAGAGGCGTGGAATTTTTAGAGCTTTACAAAGTAATTTCAGAAGAATCAGAAAGGAATCTGAAATGATGCAGCATAAGAATTGCAAGGATCTCACTACCAGTTTTCATGGTGGAAAGGTTCAGGTTGAAACACGCTGCTTGTTCAAACTTTCGGGGAGAGAACACAGAGGATTTTAGTTCTTAAAAATGCTGTCGGATAAATCACCCATGTGACCCACGCAAAACCATAGTCTGCTACAGCTCCAAACACATTAGCACTTCACAGAGGTTTCCGAAGGCCGAAATCAGCCTCTTCAGTCACTAAATGAAGATTCACTATCAGAACTGTCTTCTGCTTTCCCATCATCTCCCCAGGCAGGCACAGGGGCATCTGGGGTCCTGCAGGCAACAAAAAACATTCCAAGTGGTAAATCCCTGAAGATGGCTGAGAACACAAGTGACTCCGCACGCAATGCTCATGTCCTTTCACTACAATTGCATGCACTCTATATGCACAACATTTAACACATTAACTGTTTATGGTTTACAATCTCACACCTTATTGGTCTTGCTTCACTTACAACTGAAAGATAAACCCTAGAAACTGTAACTCACTGGCCATCAAAACTGCAGACATCAGTTTGAATGCACACCTTTGAGGTTATCGGTTTGAATGCACACCTTTGATCACTAAGAAGTGGCAAACACTTGTAGAAAGTGTTGAAAGCAGGCAATACTGATTAATTCAATTTATTTTTTTCATCTTCAGAGGTATTAAGGCTGAAAGGAACATGCTGTACACCATCAAGCAGTGTAAATAGTACATGAAAAAAAATAAGACAGGAAATGAGCAATATTGTATCCAACTAAAACTGTAGGGATAATTTAGAGAAGCAAAAAAGAATTACTCAGAGTGGAATTTGGCTAGAACACTGGGTTAAATTTGACATGCAAGAGCAGCCATGGGATTTTTATTGACTATAAATGATCAGATCTCTTGTATTTAGTTTTGAAGGGAATATTTAAGATGGATCTTAACATTGTGTCAAAACATTTGCTCCGCGATCTATTAGGAATGAAGGAGAGAGAAGGAAGCCATCTAAAGCCTAACACTACTGACTGAAGATGCTGGCTCTCCCTGGAGTCTCCCTGCTGAGTATGTAATGAGTTTGACAATACAAGCAAGACTCAGCCTGGTAAATTCTGAAACCAAGGTAGAAAATAGACATGCAATTATACTTGAGGAAGGGGAAGAATGATCTTCACAGAAACTAGCTTCCTGTATGATAGTTAACTGCTCTCTTTGATAAAAGATTACATTTTAAACTAAGCTGACAATTGTGTTATTCATCCCGTTGTTATTTATCTTGGGGATACCCCTGTGTGACATGCTACAGAATTCCTTTTCCAACTTTAGTTCTGTTTATTATAATTTCTCTGTTGGAAATCCCTAAGGTATCTTTAAAGTGTTTCTAAACATTCTGGGTGCAAAACTGAGAAGTGCATTAAAGAACCGTAAGAGAGCCTTCTCCCTCCCCCGTGCACACCTCCAAAATAAATTAAGAAAACGTTTGCTTTCTCATACAAATACCACTTCACAATATTATTCCTTGTTGCCGTGGTAATGACAAAACAGAAAAGCTGTGCAAGGACATGTGATCTGGAGAGAGCAGAGCAAAAACTCTCCTCTAGTAAGGAAAGGAAGATGGCAATGAATTCCTTTAGTTCACGAGGGCAGGACAAACTCTCCTGGAATTGTAGACAGGCAAGACGGGAAGGGTAAAAAACAGTTAAAAATAGATAAATTGGGAGCTTGATAGAGTAGGCAGTTTTCAAACTCTGTAAAAAGTTGAGAAGGATAACAGAAGTAGAACAGCTGAAGGAAGAGAGTATGAACAACTCTGTATTATTACAATTAGCATCTCTGCAGCCACAAAAAAAACACGCTCAGTCACTGGTAAGCAGCTGAGAGAGTCTGCAGTAAGTGACTGAGCATACTGCAGTATGTACATTTTCCTAATTTTCACTATGACTGAGTGAGCAGGCCTAAGGAACCTGAAGACCCAAGAAATGTGGTGTGAACGGTAAGATACATATTAAAAAAAAAGTCTACGATATTGAGACAAGAAAGCAAAATAATTAAAAGAAAGGTCACCCCTGACTCCTTAAAATATTATGTATTATGCACCTTGCCAAATCGTTAGCTTTCTTTAACCAGGTGGATTTGCTATACAGTTTTCAAACCAAAAACATTTTAAAGAAAATCTGCCTAAGCATTACTGTTGCGCAGAATCTTTGAAAGTGGACTTTGAGACCAAACACCAAACATATTCTGTGAGCCCCAATCCACAGTAATAACGCTTCTGTCTTAACCCAAAACAGATGATCCACAAGCAGGTACTTTTTCAAAAAAGCTTTTGAAGTTTTAACCTATTATCTTATTTTTATCTACTATAAAAATCCAGCCAAACATGAAGAAACAGCAGCATTTACGGAAAGGTATAGACCAGAAACACAGAGTAAGAAATACAACACATTTAACGCACATACAGTAAAATCATGTTTGCATGTTTCAGACTTGCACAGGTTCTTACTTGTGTTTTCTTATTTCTCATTCGATCAGTAAAAACATCAAATGAGGATTAACTAATTTAGGCTTATTTAGACACCAGGAAGTAGCTGGGAGATAAAGTGACTCATCATAGGTCAATACTTCAGTTTTCCTATATTTTTATTTATTCTACTGAACAAGTCACTAGTTTAAGAATAAGTCTTTCCAAAATGTAAAAAGACTTCCCTGGAAAGGCAAAGTGGACTTTCTAATACATTGACAGTTTCTGAAGAGGATGCCAAAGTGTTTCAAACAGTTTAGTGGCTATAATGTAAGAAAAAAAATTAGTATTGTCATCAGTTTAACAAATCCTGTGAAATAGTACACTAAAACTAAATTACATGTCAAGTGTAAAATAAGCCTAAAATTCATGCTTATGGCCACACAAGTAGCTTTGAAAATGACTGTCTATTCTTAGTAGTCTTCACATCAGGTTAGCTCAATCAACAGTCACAATTTCAAATTGCTGACTTCAATTTACACTGTCATTGTTGAAGTGCAGTTGTAAACTCCATCTACTGAGGGAATCTCGAAACAACTGTGCTGTCCGTCATGTATCCGGCAAAATAATAGAGAGTTTGTTCTTGTTACTCTACAATGCTAACATTTTGTTATTGAAACATTGGAAGAAAATATCTGGGAAAAACCTCATACTCTAAACAGTACAGCGAAAATGGCTACTAATGTATTATTTGATTCTTCATCGCTAAATGCACATTGTCAAATGTTACCTTGGCATTGTTATATCCTTTTCCTTGAACTGCACCACCTCTGCTTGGCTTGGAAGAAGCCCTCCCATTTCCTTTCAAGTCTGAATGGTAAAGTCCTTCAACTTTCTGTTTGGGAAGGTGCAGCACCTACCCATTTATGTTCCGGTCTCTGTATTTCCTGGGCCTTGCCTTGGACTAGTCAATTCTGAAAAGACAGCTCGTACTTGAGAATGCATCCCTCCTCCTTTGGTACTGATGGCCCTCTTCAGACCTATAAAATACTGAAAACCCTTTTCACGGAAGACTTCAAAACCTGTTTTAATGCTGATAATTTAGATTCACAATACCATCAACAAGCTTTCCTAAGCGCATTACTTTCCAAGTTTTTTGAACACGTGGTTGAATTCCACCCTACTGAAAGTTACAAATTACTTACTCGAGAAGATCTGGATTTAGCCCTTCAGAAATCATTTTGTTTCGTATTGCCATTACAGGAACACCCTGTGTAGGAGGAGGAAGAATAATATGAAACTACTGGACACAAACAGACGAACTAAATTCCACGGGTTCTTTTAGGCTACACTTTCATACAAATTTACATATGTCACTTGTTGAACAAGAGCATGGAATGATAATCATCTCATTTGCCATCAGTTTGAACCTAGAAGCGAGAAATAACTGAGATCAAAGGCCCTTTTAATCCTTATATTTATGGCAAAACATCTAGAGAAAGTTGCAGGGAGAGAATCAGGGATGGACAGATATATTTGCAATTCGTGCAGACAAAACCAGGAAGCTGAAGTTATGTGTATGGATGAGAACATGAAGAAAGCACAAAGTAGCACAGACGGCACAGAACAGTTGTGCTAGAAAGATGAAGACTCCTCGCACATGCTGAAGGTATAGCCAAAGAGGGAGGAAAACCAGGAAAGTGCATCTGCTACAGCTCAGGAAGGATACCTTAAGGCAGTGCTAAAAATTGGAAAAGTCTTTAAAAAGCATGCAGAAAAAGGCAAACAGGACAAGAGAACAGAAGCACAATTTAAAAGAGATTCCTCTGAATACAAGTGCTTGTACAGTCAGGCTTGAATCTTCTATGACTTGTGGACAGATCTTAGCCAACTATGTACGTGTTAAAAAAAATTCCTTCCTTTCACTGCAAGTCCTTCCACAGCTTCTGCACTTTATTTATTCTGCAACACCTAAACATCCCCTCATCTTGGATCGCATACCCAAGAACACTTTGACCCACGTCGTCTTACGAGATACATTCCAACAAACTGCTCCTATGTTTCCACTAGAGTTGCTCAAAGACAAGTTGTTGCTTTGCCATCCCCTGTTGCAAACCATCAGAAACACCATCTGGACCACTGCGTGCCAAGATAGGAGGGGAAAAAAATAAAATAAAATAATAAAAAAAAAGAGGATACAATTTCTGATTTCCAAGAGACAAAGCCACTGGTGGTCTAGGGAAGTCAGGAGAGGCCTCACAACCTAAACGAAAAGTAGTGTAGGATTCTTCTGGCACAGGACAAGTATCTGTTGTCCAAAGTAAGTAAAATAGTGATAAAATAAAGGGCAGCCATGACTAACGTTCCAAAGAAGCACGTGGTACTAGTGACAGTTGCAGTTGCTAACCTGGCAAAGTGAGAACTAAGCTAGCTCTCCTACTCTGTTTTCCTTGTGCAGTTTCAGAGTAAGAATCACAATCAAAACTTTTGCTTGAAGATTCCGGAACAGCACACAGACAGGTACGTAGTTTTAGGCGTCTACTAGGCATCGTGCCAAAAATGTGACTCAAATAGTTGCAAGGAATTAGCTTGTAATAGAAGAATTTCTCAGTAATTCGCAACTGATGTACACTACAAAGGGGAAAGCATTTGAGTACTTCATGACAGTTTAAAATACTCACTTATTGTAGTATAGATTTGGACACCAAGGACTGAGTGTCTATACACCATCTTGTACTATCTCATGTTTTTTCCCCTCACTTGACAGCTTTTAGGGTTCCTTTCCCCAGCTCAGAAGTCACTGATGAAGTACTTACGCATCAATTCAAACCACGTGAAAACCAGATTGACTCAGACCACGCAAAGCAGAATTCGTATTTGCTCTCAATGAAAAGGAGCTTGGTATATGAACTTCTAAGAATGGATTGGAAACTGGTTTTAGGTTGATGCTTGGAGAAGTGTTTTATTCCAAAATTATATGCATCAAAATATGTAAGAAAACTCTCAATACCCTCACGTATCACAGATTTATGAAACTAATCTTAAATTGAATCAAAATGCCCTTTAACAGTGCACTTTTTTCCTGAAGGAAAACAATTAAGATTGTACCTATATCTGTTTATAATACAATTAGGGCATTACAATTACTTTATCTTTCATACTTTCATAAGTTTTAATCTGGAAAACCAGAGCCTGATTGTGACCCTAAAACCCTGCTGTGACCCTAAATCTTACTAAAATAAACGTGACAACTATTTTAAATCTAAACAGTAACTACATAGAGCATACGGGTCCACTGAAATGGCACAGGTGTACTTTCCTAACATAAGAGCCAATACTAAATTTCCATCACATTTGTTTCTGCCCAGTTAAGATTTGAAATAATCCAAATCCCTACACATTCATACAGTGTACCCCAGCCCCAGTCCCAGCCTGGTCCTGCAGTGCAGGAAGCGTGCAGGTCCGGAGAAGCCACAGTGCAAGTAGCAATCTTGTTGCAAAACCGAGTTTGGCTCTCCATAGCGCAGGAAGAGGTCACACACCACCAGTGCTGGCAATTCCTGAAGATGAGTGCACTCTCCATGTCTATTTTTTATTTCAGTCCTTTAAAGAAAGGATCAATCTGTATCAGGCCAGACAGTGTCCTGGCATCTATGTAGTCATGTTTGGTGTTTAGAATCAAGTAAGAGTACTTGTACTTTAAACATGAAGGTTATCTGAAATCATACACTGCTCCTCTCACACTGTCAATAGAAGTGTTCTGAATATTTATTGTAGCAAGTATGATATTGCTTTTGTAGGGTTTGCTTAAATATTATTGTTGCATATTTTTAAAAATCTGAATTTAGTATGCTGAACTGCACTCCACTGAAATGAGTTTGTTGGTTCAACAGCTATCTTCAGTGTAAAAGAAATATCTCTTCATGGTGCTAATTCTTAAATACTACAAATATTGTGAGCAATAAATAACTGATTAGTTCAAGCAAATCTTCAGCTAGAAACTTAATTTGGGCAAATAAATTACACTAACTGAAATACTTGACTGGATGAGAAGACAAGTTTGGCAAATACAAAAACGCACATTAATTTGTAGTATGTTAGTTTGACTTTCCTACCACACTGTTTACAACTGGCAGAAGAGTCACCAGGAACTGCCAGTACAAAGGACAAATGTGGAAAGTGAGATCTCACTCTAGCAGTCACCAAAAAAAAAGTCAAAGTAATTAGACTATCCAGCACTTTCACATCCACTTTGAAGCCTGGCATTAAATCAACACACTAACATAGCATTCTACTCTCTGCTACTACCCCACTGCTAGGTTTTCCAAAAGGTTTGCAAAGCTACCCATGAAGTGCCAATTTGTGATTCAAATGAAAAATAAGGTATGGAACATCATCCAAAGTACCAAGCACACCGATTATAATAATTGCTCTGAAGAGGGAGTGAAACCATGAAGTTAATTTTAACATAAGCAACATTTTACTAATACTATGACATAGTCATATTTTCCAGAACGATAACATATATTTCTGAAGAAAATTTCCACTGACAGCTTGAAAATAAAGACAGATTTTTTTCTTTGTTTCCAATCTCATTTTTAATTTTGTGGATGTGAAAAAAAGCTCTTAAAAACATCACCAACAGTCTCCCATTCACTTTTTCACCACTTTATTAGTTTTCACTCCTGTAAATATTGAGATTACATTCATTTATTTCCTATTTATCTGCAGAACAGCCCACAGACAAACAGGTAAACAAAACCTGCATCACGAATAACAGGAAATTGAAGTGGAACCAAGTAATGAAGCAATTCTTCTATCTCTATTTTGAACCCTGCAGAAATATCAAATACTCCTGCTCCGGGCTATACTAGCAAAGCTGTGTTTTGTACCCTACAGCAAAACCAAACTGTAACCATATCTGTGTG